AATTTCTCATTCTCCACTTCTTACTCTGATGCTGCATGCTTAGGTCACTAGGGTTAACAGATTGCCACCTGCTCTCTGTATCCTTTTGATGTTCATGTATGCACATGTGTATGTATCTACATCTGCATGTATTGGTCCATTTCCATATTGTTATAAAAAACTGCCTGAGACTGGATACTTTATAAAGGAAAGAGGTTTAATTGACTCACAGTTCAGCATGGCTAGAGAGGCCTCAGGAAACTTACAATCATGGTGGAAGGTGAAGGGGAAGCAAGGCACCTTCTTCACAGAGTGGCAGGAAGAAGAATAACACAGGAGGAACTACCAAACACTAATAAGACCATCAGATCTTATGAGTACTCACTACCATAAGAACAGCATGGGGAAACTGCCCCCATGGTTTAGATATTACCTGCACCTGGTCTCTCCCTTGACACATGGGGATTATAAGGATTACGATTCAAGATGAGATTTGGATGGAAACGCAAAGCCTAACCATATCAACGTACATTCACTCTTTTAAAATAATTTATATTAACATTTTGTTAATCTGCAATGTGTTTTATTTCATTTAACAATATGTCATGGGTAAATTGTCACATCAACACAAACAGACCCAATGCGTTAGTTTTAACAACTGCATTGTATTCCATAGTGTAGGCATACCGTAACTCATTCAACCATTCCCTTAAGGACCATGGTTTCCAGTATTTCTCCTCTTGTAAATAATGCTGCAGTAAACATTTTCATATGAATATTATGGATCTTATTATTTACTGATGCTTTTTACTGCTATATTTTAGAAGGGTTCATTACGTTTTATTTACAAACTAAACATATCGTATGAATCCTTAGATTGATAGAATCTCACAGGTCCTTGGTCCATTTTGCCTGACTGAGAATAAATAAATTCGCATATTCAAACTTACACACATGCATGGGAACATGGAAAGCTTGTGCAGGCCCCATAATTTGTCCCAGCTCCATGTCTTAACTCATTGCACACCACACCCCATCGCTAATTCTCCTTACCCCCACTCGCCCTACTTCTGCAGTGGCCCTCTCTGTGTTTCCTACAATAAAATTTGTTTTGAGGCCAAGTTCAAACTCATCTCCTGAAGGCTTTTTCTACTATCTTCCACCTTGTATGCAGAAAATGTCCTCCTGTTGTATGATCCAATAGCACATCCTCTGTCTCTCTGATGTAGCCCTTTCTCAGTCTGCTCTGTGCAGAATCTGCCCTTGCACAAGTCTACAACCCCTAATAAGTCATGAGTCTTTTGGTGGCAGAAATCATCTCGGCAGAATGCAACAGCTGCAGGCAGGAAAATCTCAGAGAAATGTTGATTGAGTTTGGAGAATTTGCCTAAAAATAGAAGAGTCAGAGACCAGTGTCTGCCTTTTAAGCCTTAAGTTATAACTAAACACAGTTATTGTGGCAGTTTGGGGAGCAGCTTCCCAGATAAGACAATCGCATGCTGTGTGTGTGTTTTTGAACTTACGGACCTTTTAAAAATATTTTTAACTTCTAGAACAGGGGTCAGTGAGCTTTTTTTTTTTCTAAAGAGCCAGATGGTAAATATTTTAGGTGTGGCCAGCTATAAAGGTCTCTGCTACAACTACTCAGTTTAGCCCTCGTAGTGAAAGCAGCCCTAGACAGTAAGTAGAGAAGTGAGCGTGGCTGTGTTCTAGTGAAACTTTGTTTACAAAAAAAAGCAATGGGCAGGATTTGACTTATGGGGCATGGTTTACTAACTCTTGTTCTAAAAGGTGTCTAGGTACAGTTAGACTAACCTGAATTAAGTTCAAATCCTAGTTCTTCTACTTATTATGTGACTTTGAGCAAGCTTCTTAACCTGTCTTTTTGAACACATAAATAGAGGATTAATATTTCCTCCTTCATGTTAGGCATCTGTTTCAGGGCCTACCACTTAATGAGCACAGTATTGTCTTGTTAAGAGGAATGGAAGTCTAGTAATAGGGTAAGAGAAGATGCAGGCCCTTTCTTCCAACCGGAAGTAGAAAATCCTAAGGAAAGAGCACGTTGAAAAACAATAGATAGCAAAGACTCTTGGGTAACAGTGACAGCTTTTACCTTTAGGTCATATGCACCTCTTTATGTAATAAATCAGGTATAAACAGATACACAGGTCTCTTGACACTTGCAACAGCAACAGCAATGCTATTAATAAAATGTATTGAAGATTGTTTAGGATGCCCGGAGCTATTATGACTATATAAAAGCTATGGGCCAGGCTTCAGGAGGAATAATTGGTGCAACAGTAGTACATCCCTGGAGATTTAGACAGAGATTGAGACTATTTTAGCCAAAACATAAATGAAATATTAATCTTTGGCTCATGACCGGCCTACTCATTTTCAGACACATCTACTGTCTATATGCAGTGGATTCTTTTGAGATGCAGACTCCTCTGTGACTTTTCCCACTGCCCACAAGATGAAGTCCACATCCTCGCGAGAACCCATGCAAGGCCCTCCATGGCTGCTTTCAGCTTGTTCTGTCGAGCTACCTTTCGTTGCATGGTGCTTCAGCCAAATAAGTCGATTAGCTTATTCGGGTTCTCAGAACACTTCCCCATCCCATGTTACTTCTGCTTGTTCTGTTCCACCCTAATTCTCAAGACCTTTAGAAACCCATCAGTTACCCCCATCTTCATTCTCTAAGACCCCACTGGCCCAGCAACAGTCAAGTCTCTGCCTGTGACTTCCCTTTATCCATGCCTTCCATAAATAACCAGTAAACTGTACGTTATTGGAAGGTGATGTGTAAAGCAGGAGGAAACCTGGGTTTGGAGTCCAAAGACTTGAGATTGGACTTCATTTTGGCTCCATTAAGACCTGATTTGGGCTCCATTATCGACCTACTTTGTGCCCAAGATGGGGCAGGTTGTTGAATGTCTCTGAGACCAGTCTTTCAATTTATAAAACAAGAATACTATCCCAACCTTGTAGAGTTTTTGTGAGAACGAAATGGGAAATGAAAAGACTAGGAGTCCTTAGTAGGTGCCTACCTCCTGGGAGTTCCCAGGAATGCTAACTGGATCTGAACTGCTCACAGGGTTTGGCCTGGCGTATCTCCCTACTGATGTGATCATTTGAAAGCAAGACTGTACTGAAATATACCCAGGACCAATTGAAGAACTTCACATTAGAAAAAAAAAAAAAAAACCCAAAAAGTTTATTTGATTTATTTTAAAATGTTCTTTAAAATACCCATCAAAGTTTTATATGTGGCAGACTGACTTCTGTTTTTTAACTTTGTGAGATAGAAGCAAGATCTTGATTAGCATATATTGCAGAAGGGTGCTTTAAGATGGCTTGAAAATCAACCTGAAGATTCATAAAATTTGTAAAATTGAGGGGGAAATACCTAAAGATTTGCCAAAAATCATGTAAGCAGAGCTGAAATTGTTCTTTCCCCTGCCCCAAATTATTCTTTGCAAAATGGCTGCACTGCACTACTTAGCACACGTGCTGTGCTTCCCAGCATCCTGTTTGACCCGTGCACTCTACCAGACACTCACTGCTTACATTTAAGCCACCTTTCTATAGTTTATATTCTCTCCTACAAGAATGCAAATATCAAAGCATGATATAGGCAAAAAAAGAATGTAAACAAATCCCGATGATACATATGTTGAATATAATTAAAATTATACATATTGAATTTATGAGAATATTACACACATTTTTATGCATGTCCATGATGCATAAGCGTTTTTACACTGGTTTTTAACATACTATTTCACTAGTTGCTCTGAACAACCCAGTGAGGCAGGTACTGTGTCCATTTAACAGATTGGAAGCTAAGATTGACCATTTAAATGTTCACTCTGGATCACAAACCTAGGGGCTGTGTCCTAGGTGTGAACTCAGGTTGTCGCACACTGAATGTGCTGTCTCTGCATTGCCCCCCAGGTGATTAAGTACATATGTTTAGTATGCTCCACAGTAGCCTTGTAGGACCTATGGTAAAGTCCAAAGTTGGGACTTCAGCAGAAATTTTCTCAGTTTCTTGTCTTTTTGATAAAAAGCCTTGATGAGTAAGAGATATCTAACTGATAGAACCTTTCTGCCATGATATACTTGTGTAAACTTACAAATAAACATAGATACAATTATCTCCAATTCTGTAAGTCATTTAGGTTTCTACGTAGGGTTTTGGTAACTGAATCAGTTTCATCTAACACAGAAATTAAAACAGTACTTCCATGACCAACTCAAATGCTTGTCAGTGAAAATGAAATGAGAGACTTTCTGTTCAAATACAGTAAGAAAAAGTAAGAAAATACATGTGCAAAGCAAGATATAAATTTCATTAAAATATATACAAATAAATTACTTGATTACCTCACAAGCTTATCTACCTAAAATTAATTACTGACTAATTAGCAACCCTGGAAAAGTTTTATTGTAGAAACTTCCATATTCATTATAAAGTCTGAGCCTCAAGTTTTAATGAAGTTCCATGATAAAAGAATAACAAAATTAGGCCATAGTACGTACCGCAGCATCTTAAAAGTTAATTAATTCCCTGACATTCAGCAATGTAACTAAATTACTTTGTACAGTTGTTTGAGCACAGTGTCTATAATCTTCTGATTAAAATAATGAGCCCCAAAGTCATCAGTAGCAATTATTATTTACTTACCTACCATCCTATCACCCACCATCCTGCCAACTCCTCCTCAGAATCTGAAGAGATTATTCTCCAGAGAGTTTTCGAAACTTTTTGCTCTAATAGAATGAGGGGGGGGGGGAAAGCTTTTTAAACTTCAGGGTTCAAAGTCAGAGTTTCTGAACAGAAGTGTGTTTTTAAAATCTTAAACTTAAAATTCTAACAAGGCTCTGTGCAGCAAAATACCTGCCAATTCACTATTGTTTACCCTGCAGTTTCTATTTAAATTTGTGCTGCTATCATGATTTCTTCCTACCTCACAGGATAATGAATCTAGATTTTATTTCTGTTCTTTGCCCAGACTTGTACAGCAGGCAAAGTGTTTGAAAATCAAAGGAAAAGAAGATATTGACTTGGATAATCTCTTCAGAGGTAAACACAAAAACACTAGCAAAAACACAGAATATACTTTTTGTTGTGCAGAATGTCTTATTTGTTTGACTGTTTGGTTTTAGCATTCCAGCAGGGAATAGTGGAAAAAGCCTAACTAGAGTCAAGAGAGACTTGTGTTCTAGTTCGCGCCCTGCGAGTGAGTCCCTTCACTTCACTCCTCAAACGTTCATTTTCTCATTTTAAAAGTTAAAGGGCTGGACTCTATGATCTCTATGGGCGCCACTCACGATAGGAAACGTGTAAAGCTGTAGAAGTTAGAGGTTCAGTGGTTGAATCCCCCTCTGCCATCTGCAGAGGCCATGGAGGGAAACCAGGAGTGTCTCACTGCACTTGTGAAGGTGGGAGACTGTGAGATGCACCTCATTAGTAAGAAAGGCTAGAAGGGTATTAGGCAAAATATTGAACCATCAGCGCTGAGGAATCTGTTGGAGTCCAGGAAGAAGAATTGCATGTGTTCTTTTAGTTACGTTTCTTCCCAGTGAAGGCTCGATGTAGACAGAATTTTGAGGTTAGATTATATTGTAGCAAGCTAAGGAATCAGTTTTCCCTGGGTTCTGTTTTGATTTAGTCAGATGCAAACATTGATAGTTTCTTACTAGTGTCCCGCCTGCAGCCTTGGTAGCTCTGTACATTTGTGTCTCCCGGAAGATGTAGGAGATCTGTCTGCCTTCTAGAGGAAAGGAACATTGCTGAACTTTCTACTGACCTGGTAGAAGTCCAGTGAATTAGCACACTGTGCTGGACTGTGCCATCTCCAGTTACCCATCAGACTTTTCGTAAGAGAAGGAGAGAGTGCTTGGCAGTCATTGAACAAAAGGGCCGGGAGGTCAGTGAGCAGTGCTGAACTGCTCACTTTAGGCAGAGATGGAGCTCTTGCTTGTGTTGTCTTCGAAGAATTGTGGATTTCATCTCAGCCACACAAGGCCTTTTCCTCAGAAAAGAGAGGGCAGTTGAATTACTTTGGTTTTCATTGTGTAGCTACATGTTTCTCCCTCATAAGAAGAATTTCTATGTAATATAACCAGAGCTCAAGCTTGCTTTAAATAAAATAAATCACTGATGTTTTAGAAACTGTTCCATACAAATGTTCTCATCCATCTTACCAAGCCTTCATTCTGTAAATGGCATGTTTTGGAACCATGTAAGAAGCCTTAAAAAAAGTGCCAGTGTTTTAATTCATAGTTTGACACTTTTGAAAATATCTCCACAGAGTAATTATGTATATGTTCTTGTTCAAACAGATACACAATTTTGTAGTTCATATCATAAATGTAGTAATGAAGATCATCCTTACAAAAATAGAAAATGTCATAGCAAAATGCATTTGCATACTGTGAAAGATGAAATCTCTTCCAAGATGCTCAGAATGCACTTGCTCGTTTCTGCATCATGTATAAGAAGTTTACACCCATATGCTTGTATTTATTCATGCATTTACTGTGCTCTTTAATTTAAACATATCCTCGCAGCAGAGGTCTTTGTTATCAGATATGGCATTTATGTCAGAAGAGTGTGCAGTGGGAGGAGCAGTCGGCCTTAGGTGGAGCACACGGCTGCCTGTGGACCCAGACCACCGTGTGTTGGGGAAGTGCAGGCGGGGTTCATTCCATCCCATGAAATTGGCAGGCCGTGGTTAGCACCTGCTTTCTAGTTTAGCCTTTTGTCAACCAAAGTGGCTCTTCCTTGTATGTCTGGAGTCCCCAACACCTATGCCACAGACCGATCTGCTGCGTAACAGCAAGTGAGCAGAGGGCAGGCGAGGGAGCAAAGCTTTATCTGCATTCACAGCTGCTCTCCATTGCTCACATGACCACCTGAGCTCCGCCTCCTGTCAGATCAGCTGCAGCATTAGATTCTCCTAGGAGCACGAACACTGTTTGACCTGCATGTGTGAGGGATCTAGGGTGCGTGCTCCTTATGAGAATCTAACGCCTGACGATCTGTCACTGTCTCCCATCACCCCCAGATGGGACTGTCTAGTTGCAGGAAAACAAGCTCAGGGCTCCCACTGATTCTACGTTATGGGGAGTTGCATAGTTATTTCATTGTCTATTACAATATAATAATAATAGAAATAAAGTGCACAATAAATGTAATGTGCTTAAATCATCCCAAAACCATTCCCCCACCCCGGTCTGTGGAAAAATGGTCTTCCATGAGACCAGTTCCTGGTGCCACTAAAGGTTGGGGACCTCTGTACTATGGGACTAATCCCCATTATTACAAAGTTTATTTGCTTTGGTTCTGACATGGATGAGACAAAGTAATGAAAATAATAATGTTCTTACAGTGATATTAAACAATTATTTAATATTTTCTTTTATTTTTCTTCAGCCTGTAAATCTGATCATAATATCCCATATCCATGGCCTTCCTTTTTTTCCCTTTTTTTTTTTGAGATGGCATCTCCCTCTGTCACCCAGTCTGGAGTGCAATGGCATGATCTCTGCTCACTGCAATCTCTGCCTCCTGGGTTCAAGTGATTCTCCTGTCTCAGTCTCCCGAGTAACTGGGATTATAGGCTCGCAATGCCACATCAGCTAATTTTTTGTAGTTTAGTAGAGACAAAGTTTCACTGTGTTGCCCAGGCTGTTCTTGAACTCTTCAGCTCAGCTAATCCATCCTCCTCGGCCTCCCAAAGTGTTGGGATTATAGGCATGAGCCACTGCACCCAGCCTTCCCCACCCCGCCTTTTTTTTTTTGGTCTCGGCATAGATTTGAATGAGTGCCTTCTTCATTCATCAGGAGTCTTTTGTTTATTTATTTATTTATTATTTATTTATTTATTGAGATGAAGTCTCGCTCTGTCACCCAAGCTAGAGTGCAGTGGCGTGATCTTGGCTCACTGTAACCTCTGCCTCAGGGTTCAAGTGATTCTCTTGCCTCAGCTTCCCGAGTAGCTGGAACTACAGGTGTGCACCACCGAACCCAGCTTACTTTTGTATTTTTAGTAGAGACGGGGTTTCACTATGTTGGCCAGGCTGGTCTCAAACTCATGACCCTGTGATCCACTCACGTCGGCCTCCCAAAGTGTTGGGATTACAGGCGTGAGCCACTGTGCCCAGTCAGGGTCTTCTTTTTTTTTTTTTTTTTTAAGGACAATGGGCTAAAATTTGTGCTCTATTTCATCTATGAGGGGAGGTTGTATACACTGGATTTTTAGAAATTGTATACACACATGCATACATTCACACGCAGATTCTGTTTTTTATATCTTGGGCATGTTTTCCATTTTTACTGGAAAAAATCATTTTTTAAAAATCATTTTATTTTAAAAATCATTTTATTCGCCATATATATCTTGGCATACTTAATAAAAATATTTTAAAGACTACCCATTATTTTCAAGTATAATTCTTAGCTACTGAACACACTTTTTTCAATATGTAAGCATATATCACAATAATATATAAACATAAGATTGGATAAACATATGTAACAACAATAATATATAAACATAAGATTGGATGATAGAAATTTTAATTACTTTGTAATGATAAAATTCTGTAGAGGAAACCGTGATTATGTTAAAAGGATGTTGGTTGTGCATAACAGGAGCAAGTTGAAACTTGTCTTACTAATCCAAGGTTTACAGGTAAGCTTATTGAGTGTTACTCCTAAGACATGACAGTGAAACAGTGAAATTCTAATGAAATGTAAACATATTCAAAGAAAAAATAGCCAACCATAGAAATGTTGACCCTACTTCCATTCAAGATTCTAGACGTGCAACCAGGGAACTTAGTGACTACAAGCTCTTTGATGTAAATGAAGAAAGGGATTGTTGCGAACGGCATGAAGATGTCCCACAGAAAGTGATACTGGCGAAAAAACAAAAACAAAAAAAACAAAAAAAAACCACTTCACATTAAAGAAACTCTCAGAGATATTTCACAACATCGTAAGTGCAAAGGATAAAATGTTAGAAGTGAATCTAACTTAAATTTAGGAATATGACAGTTTACCAAGGAATGGAAAAGATGCTCTCTTCATTTCACAGTTGTAGGACAAAAAGAAAGCAAACACTCCTTGGACAACTCTTGGTAAGTTTTCTTTTTTTTAACAAAGAAATAAAACACCTTATCTCAATGTATTAAATGTTATAAACCACAGCATACTAATTAAATATTACTTTCACTAGTTTTAAATTTTCCCTAAGTATTTATGATGGACAGTAAAAGAGTTGTTAATATTTTGACCAAAATTTGTGAAGGTCATGAGAAAACAATTACAATTTTCCCCATTGATTATTAAGCTCAGTTTGCATGGCTTCAGCTTGCATCATCAATTTTATAGCCCCTGACTACCATGCCTAGTGAGAACTCCCTATGTTTTATTGAGGACTGTTTCAAATATGTTCATAGGAGAAGCTGATCTGTAATTTTCCTTCTTGTAATGTCTTCATCTTGTTTTGATATTCCCTCTTTCTCCATTATCACCATTATCACCAAGAGGTGTTATGTAAGATTCACAACATTTATTTTTTAACCGTTTAGATGAGTTCACAGACAGGAAAGCTATCTGAGCCTAAAGTTTTTTTATTAAAAGAATTTTAATTGTAGATTCAATTTCTTTAATAGATTGAGGACTTTAGATTTTTAAAATTTCTTCTTGTATTAGTTTTTCTAGAAATTTATATATTTCTTCTAGGAATTTGTATATGACATGTAAATTTTCAAGTCTGTTGCTATAGAGTTGTTTATAATCCCCTCTGATGAGCTTTTTAGTGTCTGCAGATTCTATAGTTATGTCCCTTTTTCATTCTTGAAATTGATGTTTATGTGCTCGTGCGTTTTCTCTCTCCCTCTCTCTCTCTCACGCTCTCTCTCTGGTTTTGCCTCAGTCTCTTTCAATTAATCCTGCTAAAGATTTACTGATCTTTACAATGGACCAATTTTTGGCTGTGTTGATTTTCTCTAGTGTGCATTTGTTTTCTCTGTTATTAATTTCTGCTATTATGTTTCTGCCTGCCTTCCACT